GTCTTCTCAATTTTCGACCGGACCAAGTATAAAAAATGATTACCTACTACCTATTCATGCTTTCTACCTTTATGCATCCAGGTTACAGTCAACATTTACGAGCCTGGTCAAGGAATACCCTCTCATTATGACACGCATTCAGCTTTCGAAGATCCCATCGTTTGTTTGAGGTAGGTTGCGCTGTTTTTGTTGTTTTTTGAGCAATGTTTTCGTAAATCATCTTTTTTAAGGCGAACAACATTCCCCTTCGTTTTCCTTCCTTGGTTACTTCTCTTTGAATCTTTTTTTTTGTTTTGATGTTTTGATAGGTGATCTCCGTTAATCTACCATTACCGCTCACTCCACTTCACTATGACTAGCCAATCAAGATTTCTTTGAATTGACTTCTAGTGAATTATTTAAGTACCTGTAGGTTAAGCTTATTCTACAACTTTTTGGTGCTTCAGTGTGACTCTCCTACTGCGAAGTCTGGGAATATTTCAATTCACCTTGAAATTTTGTTGCTATTGCAATATGGACCTTTCCATACGGGAACGCCCGCTTACCTTCTTGTTAGAGTCGAGCTGCTGCCGTTTTTACTTCCTTCACTGCTTCTTAACCAGCGTTCAGAAGGCAACGACATCTTAAACTGATAAGATTCTACAAAATCGCCAATCTTCCGAAGAGCTCGGAATCAACCGAGTGATGCGTATCTAGTTTTGTTTGCAAATTCCGCACATTTCGTATTGTTGCCAACAATAGATGCTGCGTCACTGTCATCAGCTGTTAGGAATTAGACTCATGTACAGTCACTCAACCATCACCCAGTAAGCAGAAATGGCGGCGGGATTGGAGAGCACCTCGCAGTACTGGCACTTGTGATTCTGTGATCCGTCGCGCGACGGATCGCGGTCTCTGACACCAGCCTTACATAATGTCATTTATGATACCTTCTGATGCCACACTTAGACCATACGTAGTTTGCTTATGGCCATTGAGAAGAAGAGAGTGGGCTTTCGTTCAAAACTGAACCAACTGTAAAACAGCATTTCCTCTTTCCTGTTCAGCTTCAATTAATAGTCTTCAAACCAATTGTTTGAAGTATGTGCTCCGATGTGGTCATGGAATTCAAAGACGGAGCGAATTCGGCACGGATATACCCGGTGCTTTTGAAGCGGCGGTCGCTGTGTTTGATAAAAGGAGAGTCCAGATATCGTTGGAAGCATGGGTACGTTGCTATTCGGCTCAAAATGCGAATATTTTAAGTACTTTTATTCCTTTTATCAGAGTCTATTTTACCACAGACATGCTAGAAATCTACTTTTTGATTCCTCTGTCATTGCAGAATTGTGAATCGCAAACATGATATCAATCCAGTTACACATCGAGTGACGCGTCGTCAGCTTCGTGTATCTATAACATTGCGAAAAATACGCCATGAACGCTGTCAATGTCAATTCAAAGAATTCTGTGACTGGGATAGAGGAGGTAGGTAGTTCTTTTCTCGAGCATTCTGTATGTTACAATCCTTTGTTCATTCCCCATTTCACAAAAACGATTTGGGGGTGATTCACAGCGGTATCCCGATCTTGTAACTTTGTCGGTTTGACAAATCAGAAATCCCGCGACTCTGATATTTTTATCGATGTTCTCCTCGAACGGTTTGTTGGATGGGAGTCCCCTCCTCCCTTCTCAGTCTCCTTCTCATTTTTTTCGAAAACATAAGTGGGTTTATTTGTTAGTCATTAATTGCCCTATTTTCTGCCCTCACTCAACCTAGTAAGTTATGGTGATAACAAGAAATAAGCTTGGAATAGCAACGTCCATATAAATAAAAGTTGAAAAATTTGAAATCTAAGGTGACTCATAATGAATCCTACATGTATTTCCTTTTGTGCATTGAAATTATCCTTTGAACCTATTGTGCGACATCTCAGGAGAAATGGCTGTTCCATCCGATGACAATTCAGCTGAACGTATAGAACGGTTATACGTTAATGGCGTATACGAAAGTATTGCGTCGCACTTTGACGAGACGAGGTTTTCCAGCTGGACCGGTGTAAAAAGGTAATTTTGGGAACTTCCTCCTGCACTATGGGCGAAAGTGGGTAGTGGCAAGGAGCGCGCTTACCACGCGCACGGTCCGCTCATTAAATGCCGGAACTTCCAAACAGGCCTTCTATCCCTCAGGAATCGGTCTATTGCTACCAGACTTGTATAGGAGGAATAAACTTTGAATTGTGCAGTGGCTGGCCCGTAGTTCATACACCAAATCGCATTTCAAGGACCAGAGATTCTGAAATGAAGTAGAATGTTTGGCGCATCCCAAAAGGGATTGGTCAAGTGGAATGCCTTATCCTTCTTTCTGCAATGGTTACTTTGTCTTTTCGGGGCTTATGCCACTCTTTTCAAACAATATATGTTGCAGATTTTTGAGCTCGTTGCCTGACTTTTCGCTAGTTTACGATGTTGGCTGTGGTAATGGAAAATATTTGATTTTGGAAGATAATCTTTGCAAGGTGTGCTACCTTATAAATTTGTCTTTATATGCACAATATTGCATGTGAATTTATCGAATAAGTATAATGGCAAAAAATGGCCATCCTGCTATTTCTATCTATAAATTTAATGGTAGATTCTGTCAGTTCCTTATCAGAAACAAATGTGTTCCTTTATGTACATATCTGTATTCAACCGAGAACAGTCTTGCTTTAGATTGGATGCGATATGAGCCAGATGTTGTGCGAGATTGCTGGAGCAAAGGTTGGTGAATTCTACAGGTTTTTGAGCAAAAACTGTGTTATTTGCATCTTCTAAAAACCTCATGGTTTCGAAGTCTACGGATACTGGCTTCTACAATATATCTTTAGGTGGAAATAGGGTCCCTGGCTTCAAGTGATTTGGATTTCGTAGCGTTAGATGGAGAATAAGCTCGTTTTTGTTTAAGCTTTATGACAACGTTTTGTTCAAGTCGACTGAGTCTTAAACAAGCATAATGCAACACATAAAGTAACAACATTGATAACAAGAACAACAGCTGCCTACAAGATAGTTGGATGGTTGTATGCTAGGAAGAAGGGTGGATGCAGAATTGCGAAGTTTGCCAGAAACGTAAGCGAAATTTTTGCTCGGTCCATATCGTAGAGGCCGCTGAACATTACCTCAATTGCAGATTTTGTCAATTCGTCTTTCGGTGCACGTTGAAGGAGAACAGAGTTTCTGCTGGTCTTTATTGCCAATTGGTCTTTATTCGAGGCACAAGACTTACCTAGGTTACGTGTTGTTCCTGTTATCAGTTTTACTTAAAGGAGGATTTTACGATTAGAATGGAGGTCGAGGAAGAAGTAATTCACCTAGTTGAGTAACCCACGGACCTCCTGAGGGTGCGAACTGATGCGCAATTCGCATCGAAAAATTTGACCTCGGCGACCTATTATGCCTCAAAGTTGGCGGGTCTGGCGATCTCCGCCCACCGACCAGCTGATCACTCGCCGCAGATCTATACGTGGGATTGATTAGATAGCAGAGAGAGCGTGATGTTGAGGAGGGCACAGCGATAAGAGTCGCATCAATGCGCAAATCAGCGGGGAAGGAAGGGGTCCCATTTCTCGGGTTCTGGGCCGTTTCTCATGGTTCTTCCTTCTTTCGTGTACCAATCACCATCCCTGAGTTAATTTGAAATGGGTTGCCTTCCAGCGTGAATTCGTCCTTTAAAGTATGTGGTGATCCGGTATATGCTTGCTTAAATTCATCGACATGAAGTAGGGCTTATGCCCAAAACATTGTCAATGAAGTATGAACAAAAGGAAGAGCTTCTCTCCATCCTACAAGATATTGATTTTTAAACGCAAGTT